TTTATTAATCTATTCATATATATATATATATATATATATATGGATTGGTGAAATCCTCAAGACTATGGCCCTTGGTCAGCCTTCAGACCTAGAACTGAACACATTCTCATAGTTGAATTTTCAGTCAAACAATAGACAGGTCTTCAAGGTGAACAATAACTCTAGGAAGGTGGACACTCCATATATATATATGTTGTTGTTGTTTGTTGTTGTTTGCCATCAAGTCGGCCCTGACTCATAGCGACCCCTCCTTGGGTTTCCGAGGCAGTATCACTATGGAAGTAGGAATATATATACACACACACACACACACACATAATTGTGTTGTTTTCAGGTGCCATCAAGTTGGCTCTGACTTATAGCCACCCTATGTTCAACAGAACAAAACACTGCCAAGTCCCTATATTGTTGTTGTTGTTATGTGCTGTCGAGTCAGACCCAAATCATAGCGACCCCTCCTTGGGGTCGTGGGGCTGCTCTGTCCCACGGGGACCCTTGCCGGGTCTTGAGCCATCTTCATGACTCTCACTGTTGTGCCCCCTGAGTCAGTCTCTCTCGTTACCGTTTCCCGTCCCCCTTTTTGTTAATCCTCTACTTTATCAAGCATGACGTGCGAGTCCACTTATCAGAAATATATACTGTCATTGATGTTCCATGGCCGTGGGGTCCATTCCAACTCACAGCAACAGAACTGGGCAGAAATGCCCCCAGAGGGTTTCCAAGGCTGCAAACCCTTATGGAAGCAGACCGCCACATCTCCTGTAGAAGAGCTGGGGGATTCGAACCTCTGACCCTTTGATGGGCAGCCAAATGCTTTAATTAGGACACCGCCAGGGCTCCTGGTTGGTTCCTCACAGATACCCTACATTCAACAGACAAAACGCTGCCCGTCTCTCGCTCCCTGGTGACAGTTGGTTTGCGCTCACTCTTGCAGCCCCTGTGTCAATCCATTTAAACAAACCAACAAAACCCACTGCCATGGAGTCGACTCCGACTCATCACAGCCTTATCAGACAGAGCAGAACTTCCTCACAGGGTCTCCAAGGCTGTAAATCTTCACGGAGCAGACTGCCTCATCTTTGTTCCACACAGTGCGAACCGCCAACCTTTTGGTTAGCAGCTGAGCGCTTTCCCCACTGCACCACCAGAGCTCCTTTCTATCTGAAAAACCCAAACTCACTGCCATCGAGTCGTTTCTCACTCATAGTGACCCCCACTGGGTTTCCGAGGCTGTAAATCTTTACCGAAGTAGATAGCCCCATCTTCCTTCCGCGGAGCAGCTGGGGGGTTTGAACCACTGACCTTCCAGTTACCGGTCAAGTGCCTTATTGTCCAGAGCTCCCAAGACAAATACATGGAGACAGAAAGTCAGTTAGAGGTCAGCAGGGGCTTGTGTGGGAAGGAGGTTGAGCGAGGAATGGGAATTACTGTCTAATGAACAGAATTCTGTTTCAGAAACAGATCATTGTGCTATTTAAATGATTAAATAAAAAATTAGTTTTTTTTTTTTTTTAAGAAAAACATTTGGAATGGGTTTTATTGTGTTTTGGGTTTGGGGTTTGTTATTTTTCTCCCCGTATGCATTAAAACGGGAGCTGTGGTGGCGTAGTGCCTAAGGCACTTGACTGCTAACCAGACGGCTGGCGGTTCAA